GCTAGGCATTTTTGTGTGCTGGTGCATGTATGCTTGGCACGTTGTCCGTACTATCGGAATCTGGCTATGGCACTCGAGGCTGGTTCTCTACATCTGCACGCTTATGGTGCAGACTTTCTTTGCAACGGACTGGGTGAGAGCACATGTGCTTGTGATTTGTCACCCGCCCACGGGCAGAACCTCTGAAAACCATGACTTCTCCAGTTGCATGATGATGAGAGCTTTTTTCAAGTTGGGAAGGGTCCCAGGCCCAGTCACCAAATGGAAGTGAACAGCTTTTCATTCTCCTGCTTTCAATATCTACCACACTATAGGCGGGGCAACTATGACCCTACTTCCGATGAACTTCCAGTTATGAGCTTGAAGAGCAGAGCAGTAGTTTTCGGCGTTTGCGTGATGCAGCTTGCTTCGGATTTGCGGAGTGGGCTTTTTTGGCACGAGGAGTTTCACTTCAACGACCCAGACAGTTTCGATTATGCGCTATCCTCAGTTTCATGGGAAGCTCTCAAAGCTTCTCTATTTATGTCTGAAGCACCCAAGAAGCGGCACGCCATCAACCCTCAAACTTCCCTGAACCTTGAATGCCGCTCTGAGGTGACCAATCCGGGTGAGTTCTGGTGTCCCGGTACGGAGGGTCTGGACGTGGCATTTCGGCAGGCCTCGGGTGTAAGTCAGACGGCAGCTTTCTGGTTAAGCATGTAGGTGGTATCAGAATATGTGAGGATGTGAGGAAGAACCAAACATAATGTAGAAACATACTAGTCCGGGATAAGCTCCATCTTTTTCGTGCTTCAAGAGGATTGAGAATCTCTTGAGATCTTGGATGTACCCAAAGAAGCCTCCTAGTACTGAGCCGCTTCAGGACTGCATCCCGCGCGCCAATTTCGACACCTTTCTGTGGGCTCTGGCGCCTTGGACGAAAGAGATCTGACCGGAGATCACCTCGGACGAAAAGAGATCAGACCGGAGATCAGTAGGTCAAAGTACAGTGGGCCAGACTAGACCCATCAACACTCTTCACGCTGGCCTTCAGGTCACCATCTTCCAGATCATGACAGGCACGGTGCTTTCCAGCAACTGTTGCGAAAGTTAGGTATGTGCAGCAACCTCAGGTGAGAATTGGAACACCGTGATGTACGCGGGCATGCGTGCTGCAGGTGCGAGTCAGCTTCGTCACAAGGGTGCATGGTGATGAGGGGTTCTTCATTGGCCCTGCTCAAAATTTGCTCTAACTTGTCAGGTCCTGGCTTTTGCCTGCTCTTCGTGGCCTCCGCATGGTTCAGGGAGCTTGTCAGCTACAGCGGGAATGTGGTAGTGTCAGCAGGTTGGTCTTTTGATCTGGGTATCTTTAGTCCCTGCATCGACAATTCCAACTTTAGTATGGGTCTCATTCATAGTGTCCCACATTCTGGGAACAGGAATTTCAGCAAACACCCCCCATGGCAGGTCCTACTTATCCTGTTCGGGCAGACGTTGTTCCTGAGTCCATCGCTGAGTCCGTGAAACAACGAGCTTTGGGTATTGTATGTGCCAAGACTATCATCGCGGAGGCCCCCAAAGACTTGGAGCCAACCCTGCAGTTTGATGAAATCATTCCGCTCAGGCTTGTTCCTGTCAATGCTGATGTCCAAGTTCGACCACGTGCAGGACATGTGCTGACGATATAAGCGTCTTGGTGCACACCTACGTTGAGTATTTGAGAACTACTACTTGTACTAGCCTGTGCCGGGACGAGATCCACCATATCATGTGATCATGGCAACCATCTTTGCAAAAGTGCTGCCTTACAGGACTCCCTGAACCAGCAGGAAGACCTTCGAAGAGAACACACAGCACCTTCGCTATTTGGGGAGAGCAAAGCCACTGTTCCTAGTGTGAGTGAGCAGCACTGATTTGCATCAAGATGGTTGCGGTGCCTGTGGGGATCAGGGATGCTCTGTTTGCTGTGACCTCCGCTATGACGATGCAGGTTGACCTAAGAACAATTTAGTTTCTGTCGTCATTTGCTCAAGCCTTGATGTTGCCGTATATAGGAGGGCGAGCAGCAGCAGTGACCTTCCGGAACGTGATTGAATTCTTTACTTGCCAGGCATTGCGGCTGAGAAAGAAGTCGCTCGAGTCGTCAATGCCTCGGGGCAGACAGAACAGATCATGGTTGCAGGGCATGTGCAGCTGATTGACAGTACTTTCCTGGAGAGCTATATGGTCTGTGCATGTGAGAGGCTAGAAGATGCATTGGGCAACTTGCTGCAATGTCATTCACTTTCACGGCAAACCAAGGAGTTCCATTGAATTTCCAGAAAGCAGCTTTGGGCTCAGTGAAATTGTGTCTTGTCCCGCAAAGGTTTGTGCCGAAATGGTTTGTCGATCTTGAATTCGGCTTTGTTTCTGTTGCTCCTGCGGATTCTGCAGCAGCAGCGGTGCAGTAGTTGCCAGTGGTCCAGGAGCAGGTCTTTTCATGATCTGGTGTTTGTGGCAGCAGCAACAGCAACCGCAGCGGCAGTGGCAGTGGCAGCGGGCAGTGGCAGTGGCAGTGGCAATTGAAGAAGACGACTGCGACAGCTTGGCGGTGACAGCAGTTGCAGCTTTCAGATTTAGGAGCTGCGTTCCATTTGACCTGGAGGATGGCTGCATTTTGCAGGCTGCCCTTGATTGATGTAACGTTGTAGGTAGATGAGCTGCTTACTGATCTTTGTCGAGGCCCAAAAGCTCCGAGCCGCATGTTGAGTTCGGCCAAAAGCGTGGCAGAGAGCTTGTCTGGGTTCAAGCGATCCCTCACCGAGAGGAGCCACGCTGTTTGAAGTGAGATTATCGGGCCACGCACTTGTGCCAGATGCCCCAGCTATGAGTACAGACTCCTCTGTGTCTACATTTTTTCGCACTTTGTTGAATCGGTAGCTCAGGTTCTTATCCTCAAGAAGTCCGGTTTGCATATGAGTGAGTGGTGCAGGAACGCGTGGCCTGTGGGCTATGCATGGCCGGATGCCTCAGCTCTGGACATTTTGATGTCATGATCAAGTAAACAGGGGTTTCTCAATACTCACGTCTCACGAATTTCGGACATATAGCAAAATCTGAAGCCGAGAAACTATCAAGTGGACCTCGTCCCAAACCTTCAGGCTAGCATGACCAACTACTGATGAACAGACCTTTCACCACTCGCCGTTAAGGGATCTTCGGTCTATTGCAGCAGAAAGCTCTCTGGGTGTCCTTCTGTCAGGTTCATCTTCTCGAAGTCCAACCCCATTAGACGCTTCTGCAATTGGTTCCTGCACTTCCAGGCAGGGAGCAGTTGCAGGACGGACACGTTGTTGAGCTCGATCTCTGGCACGTGACATCATGCAACTCTCTCAGCACTGCGCTATGCCAATTCGCAGCATGGTACTGTGCGCACATGGTTCCCTACACATCTTTGTGCCATCGTGATGGAATCCGGAATATGTCTGCCTGCCGAGCGCGTTGTAACCATATGTCGGAGAGCTTCTGGTCTCTAAGCACCGCTCGAAATTTCAAGGAAGGGCTGATGCCACAGCAATGCTGCATGTCATGTGCTAGATCCTGAAACCAGCAACCCAAACCCTAAGCTTCAAGTTTCTAACCCTGAAATCCAAAAATCGTAAGTCCCTGCCTCTTACCGCCAATCTCCTAGATGCCTAAACAATTTCCCCTATCACACAATGGTTGGAGCATCCTCTAGAAGTGCTAGTATGTGGTTGTTTTGGTGGCCTCCAAGTTGTGGGTCTTTCCGTATGGAAGACTGTATCGGCATAGTATAGGAGTTTGTGAAATTGTACGACAGGTTCTTTGACATATATACGCCTTGTCTGGGATGATTTGTGGAATTTTGGGGGGTGATGTGCGGCTTCCATTGAGATTTGAAGATTTGAGGCTTTTTTGACCTCCTTATTACTTCTGTAGGGTTCACTTGTAAAGGATTAAGTGGAGCATGCTGGGATGACATTGGGCTATGTAGGGAATTCATAGGAATCCTGCAGTGATGGCTTGCAAATCATGAGCCCCTTGTTGTTTCGTTCCTACAGTGAGGCTTGAGATGCCAATGTCAAAGGCATTTGATGTGGATGAAGTTTCCCCAATGCGCTTCAGTGGCGTGTCAGGTTACCATTGGAGGATGCAAGTTCTTGTGCTTCAGAATCCCCAAGATTCGAATAGTCCTCGGCTCAGATTTTTTTCCCAGCCTGCTACGTGCAATTCTGACAGAACCTCACCGCACTTGTGCAAAATGTTGTGACTTGTTGAGCAAGGAAGTGACCTACTTGTGAATTTCAATCGCATGTCATTCACATCACCGAGGTCTTTGACAACTTCATCCTGTTGTGCATCCTGGTTTCGACAGTGCGGGCCCCGGTTTGCCTAAACTTGCCAGTTGAGCTTTTGAGAGTTTAGGATTTGTGGCTGTGCCCGAGTTGCATGAATTACGGTAAAGTTTTCCTTTCACAGACACGTGCCGCTTCTGGGTTCCAGCTGTCTTGACGGGCACAGATCATGCCTTTGGACCTGCGAGCCGGATGCTATCTTCCATCAGCAAAGTCAATGTGGGCCGATGACTCTCAAAATCCGGACACCGCGAAAGGAAACAATTCCACAGTATACCGTACATGATCCTTCGAAAAGCCGTGCATATTCCTTTGACGATGCCCTTTTTGTTAGAATTGGGGTCAACAAACTTGACCAGCGACCTAGTCCACCCGGACATAATAGCTACTTGGCCATGCAAGATGTCAGTTTCGAAAAACTTTTCACGATCCTGAATTAGTTATTTATCATGCTTTGCTCGCCCCTGGCCCTGTATGTTCTCCTTCTCATCCCCATAATGTGCATGCTTTTTCGTCCCCCGTGTCATCCTGATCTCGCCATTCTTGCGAAGCTTGTTTCAGAATCCGCCAAAGGTCTGGGGAAAAGAGCTGGACTTCAAAGCGCTGTGAAAACACCAAACCGAAAAAACCCTAAACCCTCCTGTCGCGTGCCACTCCAAGGTCACAATGGCTATGGACTCACCTCTTGCTGATCCGAGCCAGCCGCTGACGAAATTTTTGCGCAATGCTGATGAGGTGCTAAATCTCATGTGAGCACGTGTATCCTGCGAAGCCCAAGAGAAGGTCCGGGGTTGGGCTTGGGACTTAGGACTAGGATTTAGGACGAGGTGCTGAGTTGAGGATGGTCATTCTTTTGGGCGTGGGATCGCGGGATACGTGTTTTTTTTTTTTTTTCAGGGGGCTCGCGCAGATATGACACAGCCAACCAAGCGAGTCTCACACCGAG